GAAATCTCTCTCTCTCGCGCTCTCTCTCTCTCTCTCTCTCTATATATATATATATATGATATATAATAATATTATATATATGATAAATAAATATATATATATATTTTAACTATCATCCAGTAATTGTAAACAACTGAAGAGATAATTTCTTACTGTGCTTGTAAAAGCTGATGCTGTTTTTGTTCCTCTGAAGGATTTTGGACATCATTGACATGTACGAGTCCCAAATGCAACAGCTACGGAATGAACTGAAGTAAGTGTATGAATGATTTAAATTTTAATTATTAATGGAAATTCCTTACACATCAGTGTCATCTTTTCCTGCAGATTATATAAAAGCAGCTCAGGAGAGAAGGACTCCTCAAACTCCCAGAAGAACAGATCCACAGTGGAAAAAGGCACCACTGACATGTCTTCCAACTACAAGGCCCTTCTGAAGGTATCTTCAGTGACAAATGCTTGATATCTGTTCTCGATCTTGACATGTAAATGTCATTCTGTTTGGCTCTAGTCATACCAGGAGCAGCTGAAGGAGACCAAAGCACAGCGAGAAGATCTCAGGACTGAAATCCAGCGGTTAAAAGAAGATCTGGAGTCCAGGTTGATATTTGGAGCCTTTAATATTAGTTTATTTTTTTTTTAGTTGGTGACGTTTTTAATGTTACACATTTTAGACCCACCATAAAAGAACTGAAGACCTGCAAACAGCAGCTGAGACGCTTGGATCGAATCATTCAGCAGAGTAACCTCAGGTAAGATCTGCAATGAGTGCTTCTAATGAAGCAGTTTGAATCAGGGTAATGAATTACTTGTTTAAACAGACCATCTCAAGCACTCAAATCGCAGGACTCGGCAGAGATGCTCAACACGAATAACACCGGCGTCCAGCACCTGGATGCTTCTACCTGCAAGAGACTCCTTACGGTATGTGAAGATGCGTGATTGAATCAGCAAAACTGCTTTACATCAGTGTTATTATAGTTAGCTAAAAAATAAAACCATAAGATATTTTGCACAATTTAAAATATTAATAAAAGCTATAGTAGTATCTCAATTATATTTTTCAAAAAAATCTATTCGGCCAATCACAGCACACCTCGCTTTTCAGACCGATGAGCTTTGTAAAAATCGTCGCGTTTCAGAAAGGCGGGGCATAGAGGAGAAACAATGTTCTTTTTAGCAACATCATATGACCCCTTTAAGGCATGTAATTGTTAATGTCACATTGTGATGTTATTGTTGTTAAATCATATTCTTTCATAATTTATACAACTTGAAATGTTAAAAATATGTACAACTGACAAGTTTTGCTCATATCTAGTACATTAATGTTTATGAATTGAACCTTATTCTAAAGTGCCAACGTCGTAAATTCATTGCTTGAGTTTATGTAAGAATGGTTTGTAAAAATATCAATTTTAACATTTAATTCCACACATCAATGATCAAAATAATTTTCAATTTGTTTATATTAGGTGTAATCCTTTTACAGCATTTACACTGCATACATTTTCTAATGTCAGCTATCAATATTGCTGTTAGTTCATCCTACCGAATGCATTTGCTAATCGCTCAACGTCTTGCTGTAGAATCAAGTCCGGCGTCTGATCGCCAAAAAACTGCAACAGAAAACACTGTTTTTTCTGAAGTTGTCACTTATAGACAGACGGACGTGAATCTTTGCACTCTGAGCATCTGTTTGGAAAGATAAAGGTACTTACAGCTTTTCCTGACAGTGGACTGATGAAATCGGCCCAGTATCCCCCTCTCCACAGTGTGAAGCAGATCTCTTTAGCACCACTGACAAACTGCAATCAGACATATTAATTTGTTTTCTTCAGCAAGGATGCATTAAATTGACAGGAAAGACATGTATAATGTTACAAAATATTTCTATTTAAAAAAAAAAATGTATTAAGCAGCACAACTGATTTCAACATTAATAAGAAATGTTTCTTGAGCAGGAAATCAGAACACTAGAATGATTTCTGAAGATCATGTGACACTGAAGACTGGAGTAATGATGCTGAAAATTCAACTTTGCATCACAGCAATAAATTGTGTTTCAAAATATATTCAAAGTTATTTTTAAATCGTAATAATCTTTCACAATATTACTGTATTTTTGAACAAATAAATGCAGCCTTGGAGGGCAAAAGAGACTTTGTTCAAAAACAAAATCTTATTAATGCCTATATTTCATATCAAGATGTTTTCCCCCCCAATATATTCAGGACAGTCAAGCACTGGAAATAATCTCTCATTGCTGTAATGCATTCATATATTTAACTTGTTATTTTCAATTAAAATCAGCATAAAAATACATTAAATAAAATGTTTCACAATGCAATTAATATACATATGCAGTTTATATATTAATGTATATACATTGACTTTAAATTTTTTTTTAATATTGGTTATTGTAATACAGCAATTGTTCAATTAAAATCTGCATTAAAAAAAAATCTCAAATAAAATGCATTATAAATAAATTAACAATTTACAATATATATCATTTATATTTACAGTATTAGAATTCAAAATTATATAATAGTACATAATTTATAATAGCACAATGTATATATAATGTGTCATTGAATTTTTCAGTCAGACTCACATTATCTAGTAGCTTCTGCTGATCTTTGTTCTGATCTTCTGTGCCCGTCTTCTGTGTTACGGTGACGACGGTGATGGGACTCACAGGGAGCACTGGGAAAAACAGCTCTAGCTCTGTCAAAAAACAACAACGATTAGATCATTACCTGTAACCTTGAAGATGTTTGACATGTTCTATGAGATAAAGCACCTTTCTTCAGCAGCTCTGGGCAGGAATGCATTGTACACTCCACATCTGACTGACTGAAATAGTGTTCAGCTTTACTGACTCGCTGCGCCGTCAGAGACGCTTCTTTACCCTGAACAAACAAAACACCTCAGAGCAAGAACAAACAACAAAACTGAAGAATCAAATGACTTCTAACAGATTGTTACCTGATACTCATTAACAAACTGAGCGAGGATGAACTCGTGTCTCTCTGTGCTGGATGGGGAGGTTAAAATGTCCGGGACCGTCCTGTGGACCGGCCCTTTCATCTGTAACCCGGTACCCTTCAGGTGACAATCGAAACCCACGTTGCCTGGCAACTGGAACCGCTGATCTTGAGGCCCAAACGGACCCATGGTCTCATCTGGCCACACTGTTCTAGGACCTGTCAGACAGACCATTACATCAACGTTCATTTCAACCCACCGTTTGAAAAATATTAGGAAGATTTTAGGCTGGAATCATTTACACATAAGTAATATATAAATGGATGAATGCAATGTTTAACATGATGATAAAAAATAGATTATGAAATATAATAAAAAATAAGCAATCTTCATAAACGTTAATATTAACAAATATATATACAAACATTATGTAAACATATGCATCACATATACTGTTACACTATGCTATTAATATAACACTTTAAAATATATATTTGATATAGTTGTATGCTATATTAAACATATATATTATGTACATTTAATTCAATATTTTTATGTTAATAATATAAATAAATGACATTATACTATAGATATTTACACTTTAATATTAAACACTACGTAAATAAAAGTAATAACATTTTAAAATACTTTTTACAGTATATAAATGCATATATATATATATAAAAAAATAACATACAATATTTTATGTTGTTTTGCACTACGTCTACTAATAAAATAAAAATAATATGTAAACAATTTCATATAATTTCTAATGTTAATATTAGAAATACATTATACAATGATATTTACAATAACATTAAATGCATATCTAAAGTAAATACAGCTGAATAAAACAAAAACGGTCTTCATTTCAGGCTGCAAAGCAACAAAATGTGAATATTTTAAGGCAGCGGCTATTTGCACTAATTGTAAATAGAGATAGATGCTATTTACACTAAGTGCTAAAAGCAACGGATTCTATTTACACTGTGTTAAAATAGCAGGATTTTCTGCTATTTATACTACTTATTGCAAATAGTGGCAATTATCTGCACCTCAGTATTATAGTAGATTATAAAACAGTATGCAGTAATAATTAAATTATCGGTTTTATTCTCCCAAAACGCCGGATCCGTGTGGACGAAACGCCTATACGATACAAAATGTATGCGTATACAGCTAAACGCGTCTCCGTGTGGACAGGGCCTTAAAATCATGTTCATGTAACTGGCATTTACTACACAGAGCCGTAGATCACTGACATGCTACACAAAATCGCAGGCGATTCATTACCGATTTTGCGTAGCTTGTCAGTGAACTACGGCTCTGTGTAGTAAATGCCGCTCCATCTGAAAGCAGGTGCTGGAGATTTACTACTAATCACAGAACCAGCTTTACTGACGAGATGAGCATGACAATCACATTTGATTTTTTGCACAGCCCTAAAATATATATATATATATATATATATGGCCCATTTAAAATCATGTTCACGTAACTGAAACATTCACAATATACATAATGTACATTACACACCTGAATTTTGAGACGGTACAGCTATATACGGCTCATCTGATCCAGACGAGCCCGCGGCTGAAAAACCTCTAACGGCCACGATCCTCTGAGCCAGTGTGTGAACCACAGACGACTGACTCACCTGTCTGACCCTCCTGCACAGCACCTGCATTAATAAAACACACACACACACACACACACACACACACACAGTGTTACAGCACACACACACACACACACACGAAGAACTCCAGCAGCTGTCAACGAAACACTCACACTCGCCATAATGTGTGCAAACTCCACCTCACTGCAACCTGAAACAAACAAACAAACAAACATATCAAACATGCATTTTAAGGACTAAACCTATTTATTTTAAAGAACAAACATATTGATGACCACAATAATACTAATGAACAAATACAATAATAATATACATTTTAATATAAATGAATAAAATATAAAAATAAATAAACAAATGTTTTAACCATGTTAAAAGTACCGTATTTAATTGTTAATTAAACTAAGGTTTCTCAGAGTAGACAAATATTATTTGAGCCAGCGTTTCTATATGTTAAACTGTATTAAACATTTATTTTTTTCAATAAAAATATTCATAACAGTCCTTGTTTTCTTGCTTTTAATGACACTTCTTAAATTGACAAAAAAATAAAACAAGTTAAATGTCAAAATCTGTAATATGCACATTTATACGTGTACGAATGATCATGGCAGAGGTCGATTATGTTTTTCTGTACAGCATAAATCAGCTTTTAAGCAAACACGCCACTGTTATGATTCACTCACTTTCACTTCAAACACGATTACAGAACGATTAAAACGCGACTTCACCGTCCACCTGTGATCGCCATACTCTTCTGGTCATAGAGATCTACATGACACGGGTTTAATCGTGATGTGTCGTTATTTTTAAAGTGTTTTAAAGGTAAAGGACAGCGTGTACTCCACTCACCCTGTTTGTCTGCACAAGGTTCTGCTGATCACGTTCGCACGCCGGACGTCATGACGTCATGACGGAGCGCCGCAGAGCACAAAATGCGCGAAACGTCACAAAACAAAAGTTAACAATATTATTAACCCTTTAACCGCCACTGGTCCCCTCTGTGGGACGCCTAAGTTTACTTGACTATATTACAATTAAATCCTAATCTAATCATGACAAACTATATATCGTTGGAAAGGTCTAAGATTCCTAAAGAATTTTTTTACAAAAACATTGGTAAAATATCGATGTAGGAAAAGTAATAGATTAATTTATGACAAGAGTGCACCTCAAAAATCTACATCGTAACAGGAGTTCTGACCTTTGTCAAAAAAAGGCTTCTTTGTTGCCTTTTTCGCCATCACACTTTAGAAATCATCAGAAATTATATATCAATTGAAAACTTTAAAACTCAAAATGCATCCTTTGAAACCCATTTTAAAATCAAACACTGCATTACCATGAAAATTGTACATCAATATCATGTTACAAAATGTTTTCGTTCATGAATTTAAAAAAAAATGCACTTTCACGTCTATGTTCAAAAATGTGAGTGACAGTTAAAGGGTTAAATTATATAAAAATCTATTTTTATTAACATTAAATGCATATATAACTAATAACAAATTAAATGTTATAAACATGATATCTTTACAGTATACATCATATATAAATCATAAATATAAATCTATATTTATTAACATTAAATGCATATTTAAATAATAACAAATATGTATAATTATACAGATAATACATTATTAATAATTAACCATATGAATAATTATTATTTATATATGTATTTAATTAGCAGTTGAATTAGTAGTCTACATTAATTACTACAATAAACCTGGTATATTTTCTGCTTAAGTTCACAATTGCACTAAACAGAAAATATACCAGGTTTATTATAGTAATTAATGTGGACTACTAGTAGTCCAGTGATAGAAAGTACAATAAAGTATTTTTATTTATTGTTAAATCGTCTTTCCTTTATATTCAGTACATTGAAAAGAAATGATCATTATTATAAATATTATTGTTATTGTCACCATTATTATATTTCATGATCCGTTATTAATTTCTTCTGTCAGTCTTCAGCGGCTATTTTGAAATCGCATTGGTCGATTGCGTTACAATCCCGCATGCGTTGACAGGTAGTATCCGCTAGGTGTCAGCAAAAGCAAACGCTTGCCACTCTGCAGCTGTGCCACTTATCTATATGTACATAGATCAGTGATAAAAATAAAAAAAAAGGCTTCTTTGTTGCCTTTTTCGCCATCACACTTTAGAAATCATCAGAAATTATATATCAATTGAAAACTTTAAAACTCAAAATGCATCCTTTGAAACCCATTTTAAAATCAAACACTGCATTACCATGAAAATTGTACATCAATATCATGTTACAAAATGTTTTCGTTCATGAATTTAAAAAAAAATGCACTTTCACGTCTATGTTCAAAAATGTGAGTGACAGTTAAAGGGTTAAATTATATAAAAATCTATTTTTATTAACATTAAATGCATATATAACTAATAACAAATTAAATGTTATAAACATGATATCTTTACAGTATACATCATATATAAATCATAAATATAAATCTATATTTATTAACATTAAATGCATATTTAAATAATAACAAATATGTATAATTATACAGATAATACATTATTAATAATTAACCATATGAATAATTATTATTTATATATGTATTTAATTAGCAGTTGAATTAGTAGTCTACATTAATTACTACAATAAACCTGGTATATTTTCTGCTTAAGTTCACAATTGCACTAAACAGAAAATATACCAGGTTTATTATAGTAATTAATGTGGACTACTAGTAGTCCAGTGATAGAAAGTACAATAAAGTATTTTTATTTATTGTTAAATCGTCTTTCCTTTATATTCAGTACATTGAAAAGAAATTATCATTATTATAAATATTATTGCTATTGTCACCATTATTATATTTCATGATCCGTTATTAATTTCTTCTGTCAGTCTTCGGCTATTTTGAAATCGCATTGGTCGATTGCGTTACAATCCCGCATGCGTTGACAGGTAGTATCCGCTAGGTGTCAGCAAAAGCAAACGCTTGCCACTCTGCAGCTGTGCCACTTATCTATATGTACATAGATCAGTGATAAAAATAATAATAATAATAATTTTAATGGCATTAAGTAATTGCAGACAAAAACAGCAGGAAACAACAACAGATCAAGAGCGAAAGAAAAAGCAGTGGCAGGGTAATAAAGGAGCGGGAAGCAGTCATATGAGGTCAAAGTCTCTGCACAGGAAGGTTAGACAGGGCGAATGTGTTTGAAGGCCCAGCGCATCTGAAGACTGAAGTGTTCTCACAACAGAGCTGAAATGGAGTGAGTGAGATTTGTGCCAGAGGCACCCTCTCTCTCTCTCTCTCTCTCCACACACTCACAGATATTCACACTCTAAAAAAATGCTGGGTCAAAACAACCCAATTGCTGGGTTTGTCCCTATTTAACCCAGCACTGGGTTGTATTTAACCCAGCATTTTTTAGAGTGCACTCTCGCACCTGCATCACAGCGGCCGCCTGCCATCTGGCATGTGGACGCGGGGATGAACAGGTCAGCAGGTCTTTGCGACGGGTGGGTCGCCCGGGAGCGCGCCACGTCCTGCAGCATGATCATCGCTTAGCAACTAAAGCCAAGTACACACTAAAGGATTTGCAAGTTAACGAGCTCGCCGACTGGTGGGTCTGTGATCGGGGGAAAATCGGCGGGTGATCAGTGCTCGGAAATCTTTATGTGTGAACCACACAACGACGCATCAAAGAGGCTCGCTGATGCCACGCAAATGCCAAACAAATATCTAGCATGCCAAATATCTGGACCCGCCGGCTGACTCGACATCACGTGGTGTCAGGTGACGAGCTACAGCAAGCAGCAACATGGCTTTAAAAAAGTTTGGACACAAGAAATGGAGTGAAATGTTTCAGAACAGATCATCGCGCAAACAGTTCCTGTTTCACTTGTTGTTTCGAGTCATTCCCGTTCAACTTCTCACGCATGTTTTCGTGACAAAACGTGGTTTGGGGACTGAATGGAGTCGTTGGGTGACAGAGTTGTTGTCAGCTAGTAGTGTCACGAAGTCGTTGTTGTGTTCACACTATAAGACAGACAGCAAGTCATGTAGTCTGAACAGCACAGCGATCCGCCGACGTTTAAAGTCATGTAGTCTGAATTAGGCTTTACTTACTTATGTGACTAGAAGGGATACGGCTATGGCCGGAAAATAACAATGAATTAAACATGCTACCTATTAGGTTGTGTTTTATTATCCAGTCAAACTAAATGCTGTATGAACTTTAGTTGGGCATAAATTCATGCGGAAGAAATTATGAAATGATAAACAATCCGACATCTAGATTTAAATATATATATTCTAGGGATGGTAAGATTCACCGATTCATATCTGTGCATCAGCATAAAAGTTAACGATGAGATTCATCGATTTAAAAAAGTGCGCATCAGATACAAGTTGGCATTTGTATCGCAATGCATCGTTTCTGACATATGTGCATTGTTAAAAAACGATTTATATATAATCATTAGTAGATGCGCTATACTTTTATTATTTAGAAAGTGACCAATCATTTTTGACCGATATTTTATATGAAGATTGATTTCTCCTCTCTAAACTGTTTCTCAAGCACGTTCTCTCATCACTGCTGCTGCTGAGTGAATATGACGTATCACAACACCACGGAGACCCGAGGCGTGTCCTGAGAGCCACAGAGAATATAGATTAACATGGCAGAGGTAGAGCTGCATCTTCCACCAAATAATTACAATGCACCAAAGAAATAAAAGGGAACTATCTGTACCATATTGAATTGTGGAGCATCATATTTTTTCCCATTGCATCGTATTGCATTGAATCGCATTGTGTCGAATCGAATCAAAATCAGATCGCACCACATCATAATAGGGGTGAATCATAACGCATTGCATCGATAGCTGCTTCATATGTATCTTTAATGTATCATATCATTGGCTATAATATCATAATTATATAATTTTTTAAATTTTAGTAAGAAAATGTGGATGCAAACCTACAACACAATAAGCTGGTAATGGTTGCAAGGACGTTGCTGCGTGGTTTCTAAGGTGTTCTGGTTGTAAGCAAGATGACTTAAAAACTTCAGGGAATACTTTTGAACCCAATGATTCAATTAATCATTCGTTAAAATGAACAAACTGATTCACCAAAATGAATCTGGAATGCCAACTTCTATCATCCGTGGGCTACTTTTTTTCAACAAAAAGCAACAGTAAGAAATTATTACAAAAGATATACCTAGGCCAGATATTTCAGAGCAAACAATATGAGTGATATAAACAGGAGTGTGTGGAAGAATCCAAATTCAAAGCTGTCACCTGCTGTGCTCAAGTCTCAGAAAATGCGACATGGGAGCCACGCTAGTTCAAATCCGAATCGTGTTCAGAATCTTAATTACTTGGCATTTGTCTGCAGCAGATATTAAACTGAATATGATTACATCTTCCTTCTCATCATGCTAGAAACTGGAGTCCGAAGGACAATTTTAAGCTATAAGACACACAGTATGGAAAACAAATAACGGATTTTGCTGCTTCTGAGTGCATTTCTGCCAAAAAAACGGAGTAGGAGATAAGGACCAATTCCTCCTTCTTTGTCCATTCTCGTAATGGCCACATAATCAAAATCAAAACAATGCTTCATGGATAACAATGCTTTATAAATGCCCGCATTCTCCACTACAATTATCCCGTTTTATGCAAAAATGGCATATAAGAGTAGTAAAATGGGCATTTAGCTTGTCTATTTCCAAACCCGATGGATAACATTAAATGCCCACATTCTCCACCACCATTATCCAGTTTTATGCAAAAAAGTCACATTACAGTACTAAAATGGGCGTTTAGCACGTCCAT